GTTCTAGTATATATAAATTTATTTTTGATGACACAATGTTTTTGAGATGCTTACAAACAATTTTTGACGTAACATATAATAATCTTGGGAATTTCCATCTTAGAAATGACAAAATTAGTACGAGGAAAATAATAAGAGGAAAGCAAGAAGTGCATGAAGAGAGAAACGAAACATATCAATGTTCTTGCGTGATAATTCATCGATAATAGGATAGGATATTGATAATAGAACATATATTTTACATTTACTACATTATTATCTATTTTAGATATATTACACATTAAATTTAAAAATTAATTTTATGTAATAAAATGTACATTTTTTAAACAATTGAATGTACAACAATTTGGTTCTTACAGCCTTTCTTCTGCTAATTTTTTTATTGTTACAAAATCGTACGTCATCCTATTCTGAAAACTGTTATTACACAAAACTATCAAGGAATATCTTGAGTCATCATCAAGTTCTCGAGAAAAATGATTTTCGAAAAAAGCGCACGTGCATTGTTGGAAATCCTGCCATCTGTTGGATTTATATAGCTGCAACTATCAAACAGCTGATCGATTGCTGTCAGCTGCAACCACGCTCAACGTATCCAGTGTTTAGTGTGAGAGGTTATAAACATGAGTAATATTTATATACAAGAACCGCCCACAACGGGCAAAGTAAGTCTAAATTACTCTACATATAAATAAAAATGCATAAGTCATAATATAATCTATTAAATTTATAATAAATTCAACTAATAACAAAGACACATCAGTCAATGTGAGCATGTGGTATAATTCTTTCTTTCATGCATAAAATTTGTTGTAGATTATTATTATGTTAAATAACAGAGCAATTAAAGCTACTATATCTTTTTTTATTTAATTTATGTTTCTATCTTAAATAGGTGGTAATGAAGACAACAGTTGGTGATATAGATCTGGAATTATGGACGAAGGAAGCTCCCAAGGCTTGCAGAAATTTTATACAGCTTTGCATGGAGAGCTATTATAATAATACAATATTTCACAGAGTTGTGAAAGGTTTTATAGTGCAAGGTGGAGATCCAACAGGAACAGGAGAAGGCGGCGAAAGCATATATGGACATCCTTTTAAAGTATGATAACTTTAAAGTATGATAACTGTGCTTGTTGCTGTAATTTTGATTTAATAATTGTGTTTCATTTTATTTACAGGATGAATTTCATACAAGATTACGTTTTTGTCGAAGAGGTCTGCTTGCTATGGCCAATGCTGGCAAAGACGATAATGGTTCCCAATTTTTCTTTACTCTTGGTTCGACACCTGAGTTACAAAATAAGCACACTATCTTTGGCAAAGTTACTGGTGAAACAATTTACAATATGCTTAAATTGGAAGATGCGCTTGTAGACCACGTAAGTATTTTACATTTGTGTATATTATATTTTTATGTAAAACTTTAAAAACTTTAAAACTAAAAACTAAAAGGAAGATGTATGAATTTCTATGTAATTCTTCGTTTCAGGATGATAGGCCTCAATATCCGCAGAAAATTTTAAAAACGGAAGTCTTAAATAATCCATTTCAAGATATTGTTCCAAGAATAGTGTCTGAAAAGAAAGATAAAGAAAGCAAGAAAGAGAAGAAGACTGGTGTAAAGTAAGATGTAAACTTAAATATACTTATTTTAAAGAATAATATTTAAAATTTTAATATTTGCAAATGTATTAGGAATTTCAAATTGCTATCGTTTGGAGAAGAAGCTGAAGAAGATGAAGAAGAGTCTTCAGTTTTAAACAAACAGTACAGTGGCAAAGGAAAGTCAGCACACGATTGCTTGTCCGACCCAAAATTAAGCTCACAATCTGTAGTCGAACCAACTGAACCACCAAGTAAAAAAAAGAAAGAGGATCAAAACAGCGATTGGGAAAATGATGATGAAACACGCACTCCAGAAGAGTTGGCTGCTTTGGCGAAAGAAAAAGAGTAAGTCACTTGCAGAAAATAAATATATTATTATGTAATGAAAAATAGTTATAAAATATTGTGTATCAACAGAGCTGTAAAAGAAAGAATCAAGAATAAATTGAAAGATTCTAAAAAGGCTTCCCAATCAAAGCCGAAAATCGAGAAGGATGAAACGAAGGATGAATCGATAAGCGAAGAAATAAACGATGATGCGGAAGTCGAGGAATATTATTTGGGAAAAGATCGAGACGACGAGCGGAAGAAAAAGGCGTATGTATAACATTATATTATATAGTTTTTAATTATTTATAAACTTGTATCTTTTTAATATTTCGTATTGTTTCCATTTCAATACGCAGTGAGGCAATTAGGAAAGAAATACGCGACTTGAAGCGCGACGTGCAGAACGAGAAGAAAGCGAAAGAAATTGAACAGAAGCAACAAGCTCAAAAGAAAGAAAATAAATCTGAAATAATGAAAGAATATAGAGAGACTCAAGAAAAATATAAGGAGGCAAAGGCGAAATTGCCTAAGAAAGGTAAAACGCGCGAGGATTATACCATGGAATTGTTAAACAAATTCAAGAACAAACTTCAAAACGCCAAAGAGCACGTGAAGAGTGATACACCTGATACAAAGGAGACATCAAAGGATACTGAGGATGACGATCCTCTGGACGAATCCTGGATGACACACGCTCTGCACTGCGAAGATAAGACGCCAGTGCTCGCCAAGGATGCCAGTACGAAAGACGACGATTGGTTTGAGATCTATGATCCCCGAAATCCGTTGAATAGACGACGGAGAGGAGAGAAGTTCGATAAGTCTAAAGAGGACAAAAGCAGCAAAAATTATTCCCGCCATTAGTGACCGTTATCATTATTGTAATATTAGAATTAGTCACGTGGATATTATAGTAATTAACTCTCGATTAATTGAGTAGTTGCAAAAAATAGTAAGTATAAAAATCTTGTGTCAATTCTTTATGTAAATAGAATGCCTCCCTACGAATTGCAAAATATATTCTTTTTCTACAACATTCTCTTGTATCGATTTTGCGAGAATGTATTAGGAGTATGTTGAGATAATTTTTTCACAAAATATTACATATTTGCGTTTTTTTAGCTAGCCGCTAATTAAATAATCACATTTTATCATTCAAGTAAATTTGCTTTCAGCCGTTTTTATCGCGCACTGTATTTTACGTTCAGCGAGATTGTTCGCGGTTGCTGAAGCGAGAGAAGCAGAAAGGCGGAAACCGACGGCTAAGCTTTTGGGATTTATTTTGAAAAACGGGCACGTTGCTTCGGTAACTACGCGTCTCAAGTGATGATGATAACCAGTGATGATGATATAAGAAACACGTGGTACGTAAATAGGTTGCCGATCGAGATTTTTTCATCCGTGTGCATTAAAGTTGTGATAAGACGTTGATACAAAGTATAGCATGTTCGTTCGCAGATTCAGTCGATCTGTTGACAGCGAGCGATACGCATCACACGTTTCACTTAACTTCGCAATACCGGATCGAACTGGTGAATCGCGGCGCGGCGAAAGCGTTTTTTAGATAAACGCGTCTTTTTAGATAAACGTGAAAGGCGATATTTATAAAATATTTTTCGTTTTATCAAATTAACGCGTCAGAGAAAAAAAAAATTTTTATGTAATCTCACGGAGTTGAAATACTTGTTATATATTAATTGAGCGTTAAACGTCCGATTTGATACCAGAAGTGTGAGTGGAGTGGTAATTAAAATTGTCGTTCGCGAATGATGTGATATTATATAATCGACAGTGAAATATAAAGCATCGGCATGCGTGCTTTTTAGAAAAGATTTATTTTTCTATTGGAAAAAGGGAAGAACAAGACTACACAGTTTTCTGTATATTGCGAGTTCCGAGTGAGCACGTCTATGCCGCGAACAGGAGATGTCAACGACACCGTTGAAAATAGATATACTTGGTAAAAATCTCCGTTAATCACTCGCTTTGCACATCGATGCTTTAATATATTTGCATATCTCGACGCGGTCGAATGATAATACGTCGTAGAAACGATGCGAAGAGCATCGATAATTGCCACTGTGTATAAACGCAACGCAGCACTTCATTCATCTTTCGATGCACTTTGAACAACGATAATAGTTTTTTTGCAAGTAAATAGAAGCAAAAACGACTTGCAGATATACATTATAATAATTTATAACAATGATAACTTTTTTGCAAAAACTTCAATTTTTTAAATTTAATTAATATGGTTGCATTTTATATTTAATAAAAAAAAATTATAAATGTGAATGAAATATTAGATATTCTTTATTTGTGATTGCAATATCGAACAAGGAAAAAATACACGTATATTTTGCAGTACTTTTTTTCAATTATATTGATATGAATTTTTTGCAATAAGTGTTGCGCTTAGCAATCATTAGCGGCACTGTGTAGTAATAAGAGGAAAGTCGCCTTCAAAAAGGCGGCACATTCATTCTATAATTCGCGCATTCTTCTTTAATGTAGTTCATTTAATCGTAATGGTACCGATGCATATGCCTACGTGTGAGAAAGATTGGTTTTATTTTTAAGTTTCTTTCTTCTTTCTCTTCCAGCTTGGCTGTTACTGCGATTTCAAGCACGTGTTCGTTTCTACGCGCAAATTTTTCCGCAAATAAAGCACAATATACGACACGTACAACAATGACTACATTTTCTCTTGTAACTTTATTTTGAGACTAAGCGAAGACGACTTAGATATATTCGAGAAAGATATTTTGCGCAACCTTTTTCGACACATTTATAAAAATTCTAGAAAAGTTCAAAGAGTGATTATTTATTTAAATTTTATTTTTTTACGCAATACAATTTTCATAACCGGAATGAAATGGTTCACGGTTTATGATTTGTTATGCGAAGTTGAAAAAAGGTTACTTGTTTATATTAATTATTAAAATATTTCTTTTTATTCGTGATGAAATCTTCATCACATTAAAACGGAACGTTGATGTGATTAGTGATTAAAAAAATATAAAATATGATTGCGCACGTTTCGATCGATTGAATTAAACATGAGCATTTGTGCTGTAAATCATCGAATAATCCCCGATAATAGAATGATAGAAATTTTTCCATTGCAGACTTATTTTCGCTTTATTTGTACACGCGTCATCTGAGCAAATAATGATCTTCCTATCCAGCAGCGCGATGAAAAAAAAGTTTATCAATGCACGATAAGTTATCTTAGAGTGCATCAATTCACATCATAGAATGGGTCATCGTCTCGTGAAAGCACAAAGGTGAAACTTGTGATCTCGTAATCATCAAATCTGACGAATATTGCGCGGAAAGTTCGCGCAATGTTTCATCTTCTACGAATTCACGAAGTTCACTGCGCGTAATTTGCGTTGTTCCTACTTATACGTGTCTTCCTTTAAATATAATCCATTACAGAGGTTCTCAAGCAAATTTGCAGTGGAACGTACGCAAACAACTTGCGCAATGTTTTAACAATGGAAGATAATTGCTCATCGATAGTTATTATCGCTTGTTTTGAACGACCTATAATTTGTGACAGAATTTAAGATAAAATTTTGTTTATAGTATTTTATATATGATACAGAAAGCATTTAAAAGGTTATTATACATATCAGTGATTTATATTTTGCATGTATATGTTCTGAGTCTTCAAAATTTATTTGTTTTTAAAGCATAGAGTTTGTGAATTTTTGTTCGAAAGAAAAAAATTGGCCTGAATTGTTTTTTATTAGATAAGCAGATTGAAAGATTTGCGCGTAATAAATGCAACTATTAATAGGCAGGTTTTATAACAGGATTAATGTCATGCGATAAGTTAAAGATCTTCGTATTCGAAAATCCTTCAAGTTAATGCAAGAATTCCATAAAATGAAATCCATGCGCTTTAACAAAGCTGTAGAATATTCAAGTAACTTTCCATTGTTTTTCTGCCTATACGCGTAAAAACATACTCATATAAGTAAAGGCATATCTTACAGACTGTAATTGGAGATAATAAATTGATAAAGAACCTATATGAGATAAATATCTTTTACGCATGTACTACATTTTACATTATACGAATCGATTGGGTATCTATTTTTAATTATAAGTAATAATTACAATCTTCAATAATTGCTACTTTAGTAAAGATACAGAAAAAGAACTGTATTTATTTTATATATAATGTCTATAATTTTTTACAATACTATCAATTTTAGAGATAATTGTTGTAAGTCGGAAGATTTTGATTAATTAAAATATATAGACATTAAGTCAAGCAATAAATCAAAGAAAAAAAAATACAATTACAAAAATTGAAAAGATTTCTGACAAGTATAACAATGTGAAACGAAATTATATATTTATCGGAAATAATAGAATTCGGATGAATTTTATTTGGGATATTCAAAGATTTGAGATATTTATACGCTTTACGTTAACAATTTTCACAGAGGACGGTATTCGTCCACGAGATTGGCAACCTCGAAGATCAAATTACAAAATTCCCTTGAGAGTACTGCGATTATGTTTGCTGGGAATGCTTCTACCATCCATGCTCGTTGCTGGACCGCTGTATCTGCGGTACCGCGTGTACTCTGAACAGCTGTATCCTTTAACAATGTCGGATCAGAGACTGATCGATGCCAAAATATCCACAACTTGGTGCCAGGTAAGGCATTTTGCTATTAACATTTTATTTGTGACAATCTCCTCTCCCTAATTTTTTTTAACTTTTAAATTATTTCTCAGAAAATATTATTTACGTTATTTTGGATTTTTCGGATTATGCTCTATTGCGTGTTTTAATTATACATATTTTATTGTTAAAAATTAAATATGATTATTAATATCGGCAAATTTTTATTAACTGAAAATACGTAAAATAATTAATTTAATTCTATGCTTTTTACAATTACATTGTCAAGATTCTGTCATTTGATAGTTTTTATCGTATCCAAATAATATTTTTCGAAATTGTGTTTGCTCCTTAAAAAGTGAATGTAAAACTGATAACAAATCAAATCGTTAGTAAATCAATTGTTGTTTGTAGAGTCAATTAGTCAAAGTTAACACCACGTTCAATGCATACCTGATGAGCAATGAGCCAGTGGTCAAAAAGGAAACGATGCCGGTTTCGATGACGAGACATCTCGTCATGGAAGACGATATGAAGGAGTATTGGGGATTTTATCTTCTAAGTGGCAGCAGCGTTACTGTTTCAACTTGTGTAAGGTAGAATTATAAAAATGGGGGCTTGCTATTATGCAATTTTGAAATTTGATTAATGGACAACATATTTTTCAATTTAGCTAAATATTTCTTATTGCATGATAGTAAAAATAATTCATCTGAATTTCTATTTACGATATTATATCACAAATATATAATCAAATGTAATATCTATTTGGGAATGGCCATTACTTGTAGATGGCCAGGTGCCTCTTTGACAATAATCCGTGGACACAAAAATTTGCATGAATGCGCTTTCATCGGAGACGATAGTAGCGAGGAACTCGAGGAGCTTCTTGAAGTCGCCAAGGAACAAGGACTCCTCGATGCAAAAGGCACTACGGAGGTGTGCCTCTTTTTCTTTCAAAAAATAATATTTTCTTCAATTTTATGAAAAATATACAAGACATATTTTTTCAATGAAAGTTTCTTTAATTGTCACAGGCAGCGCGTCTTAGTAATGTGCCTGCAAGAATGGGACGAGTAGACCAGGATGTGCATTTTCTTCACGAAGGCAGCGTTTTTCGCTTAAACGTTTCCAAATCATCCGGACATCAGCCGGGTAGCCATGAGCTGGATGCTCAGGCGATGCGGAATATTCTCACTCAGCTCTTTGCCAAGACTCTCGACACGAAGAAGAAACAAAAAGAAAATCAGCATCACCATTATGAAGCCGTCTTCAGGGAGGCTACTAATATTGATAAGCCACCAATCACAAATTACCCTGAAGATCTGCAGGATCAGTTTCTCCATAAGAATCCGATCAACAGATTTAATGATGCAGAGATATCGGAAAGCAGCACAAGGTGCGTTCTTTTTCTTAATTACTAACATTTTAATATTGCTACATCCTGATATCTGTTTTTATGAAAAAAATATTTTTTAATCTATCAAAAAATTTTTCTATTATTGTATAGTATTATCTTATTAAGAAAAATATATATTTTATTAAATAAAAGAATTTATTAGCTTAACAATAACTGATTGGTTTTGAAGAAATTTATCGTACTTCTAATTTTTTCTTACGTAATTAAGAATTGTATATTCGAACTGTTTTAGAGCCGCGCCTTTGAATACATCCTCTTCTTTCAAAGAAAAGCAGTTTAATAAAGAAGATGTTGAGAATTCCACGCATTCTCTTAATATTCGTCCAACTTCTACAAAATTCAGCATGCAAACGGAGACCAAGACGAAACATAAAATTACAAAAGAGCAAGAAGAATTGAAAGCCGAACAAGTAAGCTCTGCGGAAGTGTTTCAAGATGTATTGCGTAAAATTAATTCCTTGGGCGATCGTGGTAAAGCGATGTTGCATAAATTGATGAACGAGATTGATGCGCAAAACAATACTGAAGGCGCCGCATTAAAACAATTAGTGAGCGAAACGATGAACGATAAGACATTGTCAAGCGAGGCCAAGCGCAGAAGGAAAAAGGACCTCCTCCTTTCGTCGCCGCTTCATCAAGAACTAACGCAAGAGGATGAGGATGGTGATGCACCGCTAGAAGAGGTACTGTACTCTATTTTATCATTTATGTATTTTATTTATTATAAGTAAAGTAAAGCAAACTATTTTTTTATAGTTAGATATTTATGATAATTTGTATTAAGAGTGGTTTTAAATCTTTTATCTACTTGAAAAAATCCAGAAAAAATATGTGCGTGTGTAATTCAATTTTTATTTTAAAAATTCATTGTCTATGAACTTTTTTAATTTAGAATGTGTAAGTTTTCTTTTCCACTTGTCCCAAAAAAATCTGTTCATAAATAATGCACGAGAATGTTAACTCGGCACACGAAGAGATTTATGGCATTATCTTCATGACTGATAATGCGTTGTCCTTCATTGGAACGATAGCAGGTTTTAATTTGTCGTGTACTTATCACATTGATTTGGCAGATATCTCTCAGAATATATTCGAACAATTAGAGATTTACAAATCGCATAATTGCTTCTACTTAAATCTGGATCGTTCCTTTACATAATTACAAGATTTCCTTTATCGTCAGATAAGATCTGAGCCGTACAACGATATTTGATCAATCTTATTCATGACTATCTCTATAGATATTGAAGAATTACATTTGTTTGCAAAGTGCGACCATGATTTCTGTTTATCTATTACTTAGAATTTCAAATAAGGATAAAATTAAAGACTGAAGAATTTTGAATGAACTACTTTATTTGGCTGACGCGCAGCGTGCAAAAGAAATGTAAAGATGTGATTTATCTTCTTCAGGGAATGTTACATCCAGACGGTATTGCGGAAGATCGTGGTACCGTAAACGAAACAACTTTGAATGACAGAAGTAATTCCGAGTTCTGGAGCTCGTTTAGCAGCTCTGAGGAGCGGCTGTTGGAATGCAAGGGTTTGATACTCAATTTACCTCTAACACCTCATCGTTATTGCACACCCAAGCATGAAAATCAACATTCTGCGGCGTCCTTTGCCAACACTGTGACATATAGGTAAGTGATTGCATTAATTCTCAGAGAACAGCACGGTTTCACGTTCGACTGTTTATTGAATTAATAAGTACTTAATTATTTCTTATATATCGTTGTTCTAAATTTTATTTTATCTACTATGAAAAGTCAAAAAGTAAAGGAACATTCACGGAATAAAATCCTTTATAAAAGAGCTTTTGTGATTTTTCCTAGAGAAAGAACAAAACTAATTTGTGTTATATCCAATTTTACTTTAAAAATTTTGTTAGCATCTATAGGTTTAGAATATACATATCTTTTTTTATATAACAAAAAATTTTTTGCAAATATAAATATAGCTGTTTTATGTTAAACTTTGAATTTTATATATCATGTATTTTTATTCTTCTACATTTTATGATATAATTTTATTGTAGAGTACCTATGAATGGATATTACTTCTTTGTATTTAACTCGGAGAATGAGATCCAACCGAATTACGTGAGAGTGAAATTCGATCTTTTGAAGACTGTTTACAATACTTCGAATTCCGTGCATGCTTGCAAAAACAGCACGAAGGAATGCTTATTGCCATTTACGATTTTTAGCAATGAAAGAACGATATTAGAATTGCCATTAAGTGGCAATGACTCACAATGGAATGAGGAATACGTTGTGGTATCTACGTGCGAGCCACGAACGACAGTTTATATTATTTGCGTCATTATGGTGCCTTTGTTGATCCTTTGTTTCGCCTTTCATTAAATGATTAGGTAATGAACAGTATTTTCCGATATTTCCATCGACGCGATTAAAATCGTTATTATATTATTACATAACAAAGCTATATTTTTGGAAATAAAAGGATCATCATCGGTATTTATTACAAATAATTGAATTCTTACTATTTACTGTTGAAGAAAAATTTCAAAATTAATATAAAAGAAATTAAAAAATAATTATATTGATAATTAAAGTCACATTCAAGATAAGAATAAGTGTTTTTGGATGAAAAAGTGAGGTAGAAAAGATCGTTAAATATTGATTTTTATTTCTCGATTTTTTAGACACCAAAACTTTGAGAATTCGAATGTATATATATTTTATTTACCAATTTGCCTTTTACAATAATGTTCAATGCTCAATTCTATTTTTTTATAATTTTAAATTTAGATCAATAATATACAATTAGTCTGTCAATTAATTTCTTATTTATAACTTGTAAATTGAATTTTATCTAGTTCTGCAGTTCTATTATTCTTTTTTGGTGAATGTGATCCTGCTGCCCGAGAAAAAATGGTATAATTGGTCAGATATAAATATATATAATTAGTTATGAAAAGATCTCATAACATATGTAATTTTATATGATCATATAAAATATTACATATTATTAGATCTTTTCATAACTAATTATATATATTTAC